TACACTCAAGAATTGTACAAGACAGTGTATAAGAATTGAAGAGGTGAAAGGGGATTGGCTTCTTTAGCGAGATGAGATAGTATAAATTTTCATTAGAAGAGTTTATAACATTAATATTCATGAGAATACTAAATAAGAGTACGTTGCGCATAAGAACTCACGATTTATTTGTAACCATTTTGAGTAACTGATAATATAATAACAGATTTAAATAAGGAATTAATATGATTTCAGCAAATGATAGAAGGGAGGATGAGCTATACGTATGCTTCGATTTACACCTTTATTACGGCGGGCAGTACAACGCAGAATTTAGACTTAATATTAGATCAAAACCCTTGGAAAAAATGACAAGTGGTCTGATTCAGGACGATTTGGCTGGACGAACCTTGCCCGAAGTCCTCTGCCATAATAGTCATCATATTACCAAGCATCGAACCTTGGACTTGGTGCACTCCCAGACGTTTAGCCGGCAAAGTAGTCGGCGTCATCAATGCATTTTGCCGTTCTCAGCATCGCTTCCAGCTACAACTTGTCAAAGAGACAAGTGAAGTCAGTCCCTTAACCAACTTTCCGCCTAGACTGTTGTGCTACCACTTCTCTTTCGGCTCTGACCTCTCTATCGACTCCACGCCGTCTTTTCTCATTCCCGTCCTTCCAAAGACTCTGACTTGTTTATATTCAACTTTTCAAAAAGTGTGCCCTTTTTGGCAAACGTAGTAGGGAATTAAAATCGCTGATTCCAATTAGGCCTCCTTTTTAGATCTTCATCAGTGTCCGTAGGTCCAATTATAATATTTCTATGTATGAAATGTGTTTCACCTATTTCGTTTAAGATGATAAAAGAGTGGTAATTGAATTTTCTAACAATGTTATGAGTAGACCTTAAGTTTTTACTGAATTTTGCATTAACTTGCTTTCCCAAAAGGTATTCTCACCCAGACACAAGTTGACTGCAGTTTCGAACCCGCAGCATCCCAAGCGAGACTCGAGCCGTGGCAATGGAGCGTGTACTGTCGACATTTTAACCACGACGCCACATTGCCACGAGCGCTTTTGGGTCACAGGACAGATGTAAACTTTGAGAAAAGCCACGAATTTTCCCATATCACCTTTATTGGTCGGAGTGCTGATGAAGCAAGGTTGTATTTACCGTAGTAATCGAATACATAAATTATTTTTCGTTTATAAGTAGGCTTGCGGGAGTACCAATATATTTTCGTATTATAGCAGAGTTTCGAGGCTACCATTAAATCAGTAATATGAGATGTATTCATCCTATTTCGTCTAAGGTAATGAAGGACTGGTATTATAATTTTCCCACAATGAAATGAGTTGAGCTGACGTTTCCATTGAATTTCACATAGCCTTGCTTTCCCAAAAGTTGTTCTTATTCCGGCTGAAGTGGACTGCAGTTTCGACCTCGCATCGGTCTTATCAATACCCTCAGCGGGAGTTGAACCGTGACAGTGCAGGATGGGAGCTTGACACGCTAACCACTCGGCTACACTGCCACGAGTACTCTTGGCTCACAGGGCATAAGTGAATTTCAAGGAAGGTCAGGCTTCTTTGCTGTATCATATTCTTTGGTGGGAGTGTCGATGAAGCAAACGTATATTTGCTATAGCAATCAACTCCGTTAGTTATTTTCGTATTAGAGTAGAGTTTCGAGACTACCATTAAATCAGTCATATGAAATGTATTCACCCTATTTCGTCTAAGGTGATGAAGGACTGGCAGTAAAATTTTCAACCGATGCGAGGTCGAAAGTGCAGTCCACTCTGGATTAGAACAACTTTTTGGAAAGCAAGGTTATGTGAAATTCAATGGAGACGTCAGCTCAACTCATATCATTGTGGGAAAATTCGACTACCTTAGACGAAATAGGGTGAATACATCTTATACTACCAATATATCCTAGTCTACTTCTAAACGAAAAGTAAGCAACTTAGTCGACTGCTATAGCAAATAAAGCCTTAATTCATTGACAATCTCACCACAGAATGTGATATGGAAAGATGCCTGACCTTCGAAATTAACATCTGCCCTATGATCAAAGGGAACTTGTGGCAATGTGGTGTAGAGGTTGGCATGTAGATATTATAGGCTACACTATCATGTTTTAAGTCACACTGAGGGTGTTGAAAGACTGAAGCGGCAGTCGATTTCCGCCTACATGAGAATACTTTTTGAGAAATTAAGGCTATGCAAAATTCAATGGAAACGTCATGTCGTTGTAGGAAAATTCAATTATCACCCTAAACAAAATGGAGAGAATACATCTCATAGTCAGAATATTGGTTCATAGATGTTCCCTTTGAATGTGAAATAGGTAGTCATTGTTGTCAGGTTGATTTTTCGTGAAAATAACTCCTTCCTGCTGCCCTCTGCTTCCAAGATATCCTCTTCTCAGTTTAAGATCTCCAGCATGACCGTTAGCACCTTTTCTCCAAAGATGTATGTATACTTTGATTGAATATAAAAATTTACCAATAATTCTGTTTCTTTCAGTTCCATGAAGTTGTGATAGAGCAGGAATGCGGAGTGATAGGGATTGACTTTACTTGTCACTTTTAAGAGTCGTAGTTTGGTGCGGAAGATGGCAAGACTCACTGCCGATACCGACTACGATGCCGGCAAACGTCTGGGATTGCAACAAGTCGGCGGCCAAACGCTGGAAGTTATGATAACTACTATAGCAGATGACTTCAAACAGGGTTTCTCCAACTTAGTCACCTTGACAACACAAACAAGTTGCTGTACCGAGGTGAGACCACTCGATACATCGAAGGGAGACTGCGACCAAAGCAGAGGCCACAAGATCATGGTCTTCATATCTGGGAAAAAATCAACCTATAAGTCTTTAAGGGGATTGAAAAATATAGAAGTTAAGAGTACATATACAAAATCGGTTGGTAAATTGTGTAAGTAAACAAGGGGCTTTGCTCTGTGAGCGTGCTTAGATCCCATATCAACGAAAATATAAAGATGTTTAGACGTCTAAATTAATACTTTATTATTTTTCGACAGGCTAGACAAAATATGAGACTGTATTGGGGAAAGCAAAAAATGAGAGTATCCTTCCTTTATTAGAGTCATGCCTGAATACCGACTGGGGCTTTAGATCGCGAGTATTGCACTTTTACGGCACAGTTTTGTGAAGAATGCCTTTTCTCTCTGACGATGCTATCATGTCGAGATTGGCCAAATTTCAGTGTGAATTCAACGTAGTCGGCAGATAGTGCGTCGAGGGCTTCTACAATCAGGACCAACATTTAAACCTGCTAAGCTATCTCCTTTCAGTTGCTAGTGAATCCAATTTCCGAATCCCTTCCACTAAAGTGCGTAGGCGAAATTAAATAAAAAATGGATTGAAAGTATTAAGGGATCCTTATAAATCCAGTTATTTTCTATCTATGCCCTAAGCAGTTGTGGATACCAGCCCCTTTGTTGCCCTCCTACCATAATAGTAATGCATGATACTTGTCTACGAAGCTTGCGAGGTCCTGCTTCTTATGAAGAGTGACATGTTATCGTCATAGTAGCCCGACTTTATTTTCACAACAGGGAAGCTTTTTGCCCATATTTTGTTTAGGTTTACAAAAATAGGCGTTGGTATGGAGATAAAAATTAATACCATTAATTAGTACAACGTTTTCCAATTAATGCATCTAATACCAGTGTATTTTAATTTAATATTATTTAACCATACTGACAGTTTTTTAAATCCACTAAATCCGAATATAACTTTATATCTACAGGTATTTAAAAAAGTGGTTTGACCTAATTTCTCAAATTAAGCGTATCGTCAGCGAGACTTAGATGAAGATACCTTAACCAGAGTTCTCTGCCAGTGTACTCTCCATAATATTTTCCAGTTTAGGACCGTAGACTTGGCAGATTCCCAGACGGTTCGCCTGCACTGCAGTCGGCTTTTCCAG